ATAGTCCAAATTTACAGGAACAAGTTAAAGATTATTGGTCTGAGGAGCAATGGAATTCGAGGATGCTGAACACCATCCCAAACAGTGATCAAACTCAGTTGGTCCAAAACACACCATTCTCCATTGGTCCAAAGGATAAGATAATCACCAATGACTCCTCACGGAAACTCTCTGCCTATATTTATCATAATTTCTTCCAGTGGCAATCTGTAGAGTGGGGAAAAGCCATTTGGGGGCAGCATTTAACTACCTCAATGTCTTTTTTCTGCTGGAGGCTCTGGTTATCTCTTCTCCCAAATGATGATATACTGAAAATGAAAGGACTGAGAGGACCCTCATGCTGTTGTCTGTGTAATGATGAGGAGGAGACCCTTGAGCATTTTTTTTTCAACTGCAATTTTCACAACAGATCTGGTCTGAACTTGTAATGAAACTAAAAGTGGATACTATTAATATCAGCTGGGAGAAATTTGTCAATTGCTGGAGGGATTGGCAGGATGCTAAACTTCAAGTCATTCCATGTGTGGTTGCATGGTTTATTTGGATGTGTAGGAATCAAGCTAAATATGAGAAGATTAAGTCAGTGATCTCAAATTGCATTTCTTATATGCAAAAAATTACTAAGTATCTGAAGTTCCCTAAACTGTTTAAACATTGGAGTCCTAATTCCAGAGTTAAGCCAAACTTCAAACCTCTTACAGTATTCTGGACCCCTCCTCCCTTTGGATGGGTAAAAGTTAATACTGATGGGAGTTTTCTAAAGGGATTTGCTGGGTTTGGAGGTGTGTTCAGAAACTTCCAAGGGATGTGCCTACTTTATTTCTCCTCTCCTACCTGGGTTTGGGATGCATTGGAGGCAGAGATGATAGCCATATATTGGGCTATATTTGTTGCTAACAAATGTCAAATTCAACAGTTAATTGTTGAGTCTGACTCTCTCACCTGCATCAAGATTCTGTTGAAAGAAGAAGACCCCCTTGGTATATTCTAAGGTGGATAAATAAACTGAGCACTGAGCTGGGTAGTAGAAGAGTAAAATTTCAACACATTAGGCGAGAGGGCAATAGCCTGCCAACTTTCTGGCAACTAGTGGAAGGAACTCTAAAGTGATTACAGTTGGCAAGACTACATCTTCAAACCTATCTCTTCTTTTGACAGGAGATAATTTAAGCTGCCCTTATGTGCATGTCCTGTGTAGGGAAATAGGTTGGTTGGTCTATGAATCAGAATTGCAATCAAGAACAATGGAGATAGTGTCTACTACTGCAGCCTTCTTTCTTCTTCTTTTTTTGGTCATTTTTCTTTCCCCTTTTGTCATAGGGGGTTTTGGTGTTTGGCTGTTTTCTTCAGATTCCTTGCATGACTATTGAGGGGTGTGCTAACACTTGTGCTGGTGTTGAGTCAACCTTTCTCTAGCTTTTGGTTTTGTAACTTTACATTTCTTTAATATGTAAGGAGCCACTAACAGCTCCTTTTTGGTTATATATATATATATATATATAAAATAATAATTGATGAGTATTAATTTAAATTATTTATTTGACTACAAGGCGACAAAGATTTAAAATCAAGTAAAATTTATTAATTAAAAAATATATATAATAATAATAATAATTATAATAATTGATGAGTATTAATTTAAGTATTTTAATTGACTACAAGGCGACAAAGATTTAAAATCAATTAAATTTTATTAATTAAAAAAATAAAATAAAAATATAATAAATTTTATTTAAATGAATATTTTAATATAACTAATAAAATTTAAACTTTGCCACTGCCCTTAACATTCTACGATTGCGTGAATAGGGTTATCAAAATGAACCGTTCGCGAACAGTTTGTGTGACTCGCTAAGCAACACGAACAAATTTTTTTGTGCTCGATGTATAAATGAACCAAACACGAACGGTGATATTTTTTTTATGAACTGAACATTAGACAATCCTTGGCTCACTAATGCTCGACTCGTTTACGACTCTAGAGCAAATAAGACTCTCTTCCTTTTTATTGAAACACCCACCTATATGTAATTGATAAACCCCACCCTATGAAATTTTAAGTTATTAGGACCTTTAGCTTAGAACGTTATTATCATTGAAGGGATTGATGTGATCAGAACTAAAAGCTTATAACTATGAAGGCATCCCTCTTTTGGTGATCTCTATTTTTCTCTGATGTGCGATTTATGGAGAATGGTGAGCCATTATAGCTATTTTTGGATTTAGATGGTTTTTGTGAGTTTAGAATTGTATTATTTTTGTTCTGTGATGGTAGGCTTATGATTATAATTATTGAATTTTCCAGGCATATAATGTTACAATTGCTTGACGAAATTCTACTATCCTCTTGAACTTGTTGCTTGTTGAATGCGAGTTCCTTGAGTGTGCGATAAAAAATGATTGCCAATTTATTCTTGAAATTATCATCTCCTTTTTACATGACAAGGATCTTGTATTTGTTGGATTCTTTCCTAATTACTTTGTCTTCAAATTCTATGATTGTCGGTGTGATTGATTTTGATCAAATTTATTATAATCTCAATTTTCTTAATTGAGGTGTGAGTTTGTGATTTACGTGTGAATTTTCTTGGGCCAAAGTTTTTTATTGTGAAATTATTATTTGGGTGATTATTAAGTTATTATTTGGCATGAATTTTATCCATTTTCTTAATTTTCTTTAAAAGATATATATTTTTATTTTAATTAAGTGTTTATGAAATTGAAATGTGCCTTATCATGTAATATTTATATTCTCATTCTAGATTTTCATTGATAAGAATATCTTAACTATAGGACAATCAACACCACTTTATGCTATGAGCGCTAATTAATACCTTAAATTCATCTCTATTCTAGTTTCACATTCAATCAGTCATTTGCATAATTCTTAGACAGTCATTATAATCACATTCTTGAAGCTGTTCTTGATGATAAAATTATGTCTGCTTTTAATGGTGGATAACTTGTAAAGTGGAGAAGTGGACGTTTAAGTGATAACTTATAGATATTGGTATGAAAAATTCCACAATTTTGTCTAAATATATGAGAAAATTATCAACTAACAATTTTTTCCCATGCTTGGTGGTATGTGGACATAAATTTAAAATTTCCTGTTGTCTAGATTTATTTATGTTATCCAGTCTATTAAAATTTATTATTTTTATTTACTTATCTTAATTTTGTTGTCGAATATGTTGCCAAGTTGCTAGCAGTTCACCGAATTTTGTTAGCAGCTTGTTAGCAATCTTTTAGCTTTTTGGTATTTTGTTCATCTATATTTATAGACACGAGGCATATATTCTTTTTATGGATATTTTAACTTATATTCTAATATTTTGTCTTTTATCCTGAATTTTGTTCTTTGTCTATTTGTAGGGCTAATCAAATAATGATGTTAATGCTTTTTTGACCATAACTATAGATGATTTTTCCCTAATTGATATCTTGTGATGAAATTTAGAACCTGTCTTTAGGGTTTTTTAAAATGGTTGTTCAGAACATTAATGATAATTTTTTGCTAGTTCCTTCAAGATATTGTAGTATTTGGTTTTTATTAGATTTATAACAACAATTCCTAGTTGTTACTACTTATTATTAGTTTTTATTCCCTCATTTTGTGTTTCATTTTTTGTTTTATTTTGTTTTTTTTTTCTTATTTGTTTTATTCTATTTTATTTCTTTCCTTTGTTGTGTGCATTGTAATCTAGTTTTAACATCTCTATTATCAATATTATTATGTTGCATTATTCCAAATCTTAACATGGTATCAGAGCCATTATTCTAACCATAGAGCCTCTAACCTAGCCACTGGCCAGTTGCTGATCCTTCCTTGCAAGGTTTCTGCTGCCCAACACCTTGGGTTTTCCCATATTTCTTTCTTCGTGCTGCCCTACTCTGCGCCAATCTCACGGCAAGCCCTGCTACATGCCTTTTGTCAACGTCGTCTCCTTGTAGAAAGGCCGCTGGACTATCCTGCAGATGATTCAGGCCATCAGATTCCCTCTGCATAAAAGTAGTTAAACTGTCTTGCGGGTGATTCCAGCCATCAGATGCACTTCTGCCAACCTGGGTTCTCTCAAGCGAACCTAATTTTTTTCCCGTCTAGTGTAGATAGAGAACTGTTCAGCCATGGGATCTACCTTTTCTATCCTCAATCAGAGATCTTTCTATATCTCAGCACCCTGGTATGACATTTGGCTCAGTTGGAATCATGGTGGACTCTTCCTCCATTGAGTCTTCTGTCGACGGTGTGCTTAAGTCTATCGGAGGGTTGACATTGATTTCAATTCTTCTGCAATCTGGAGGACTAGAAACCAATATGAACTTCTTTATCACAACCCAAAAACTGAACGACAGTAATTTTCTCCAATAGTTCCAAGTGATATCTTTGTTTTCCAAAAGACATTAAATGTTGTGTCTATTTTAATTGAATTTAAATATCTCTCATTCTATCAATAATATTATGCTGCATTGTACCAAATCTGAAGTGTTAATGATTTATATGGTTGACTGAGAGGTTCATTTAACAATGATGCTTTCTAGTAGGACATTCAAATTTAAGCGTTCCTTCAGGTCTTATATTTTTAAAATTGGCAATTATATTTGTAGCACTTGAAACTTTGTTATTTAAAAATTTAGCACCTCTGTCATCCTTTTTTCAAATTAGCACTCAAGTATCAAAATTCATGATATAATCCCAACCCACATTTTTTATTTTTATAAAATTTTCAATTGTTTGATTGTGTCATGCAAGTGCTAATTTTGTAAATAGTAATGTTTCCAGTGCTGTGTATGTAAATATCCCTTTTAATATTATTGAGCAGTCATTATCAGCTATAATCTGACATAGCAAATTCTTGTATATATTCATCAATAGCTGTTATGCATTTTGCATTGTTGTGCATTTCTATCTGCAATTTGTATTTTATAAAGGCTATTTTTTCCATTCATTCATGTCACTCTATCAATGTTAAATTGGTTTGCACTCTGGACTTTCGTAGGAGCTCCAAAAGGTCCACTAAGCAATAAATAGTGGCATGGGAGGGAACGGGAGAGACGACTTTTTTGGTGTGCAGGATTCATTTCTAGACTCTAGTGTTTTCGGTCGAGCAAGGAGCATGTCATCAAATTTCTTTGGTGGTAGGAATCTATTTGACGACCCATTTTTCGCTGATCCTTTCTCTGCTTACCGCTTCAGAAGCACCATGGGCCCAAGCATTTTTGAGAATAGCATATTTGGTTCACATGGAAACCCATTTGGAGAAGGAAATAATTTCGAATTTTTAGAGAATCATCTTTTGCAGAGACATAAACCTTCTGGCCCAATAATTGAAGAGATGTCTGATGATGCTGAGAATGTCGAGACTTCTGAGGAGCATGAAAAAGATCCTGAAAAGATTCTCAGTTCTACAAAGGAAGCATGGGCTCAGGATCCCATTGAGAAATCAAGAGGTTAGTTCTTATAGGAGTGAAGTGACAAAATACTCGCTGAATATTTATGTGGTGTCATTTTAGTCTAATATTCTGTAATAATATCAAATTATATACTTTTGTACTGAAATGCCCCTTGACAGAGAGTCAAGCGACTAGTTTGATACTTTTCTCGTTATTTTAGCGTATAGTTTTATTCCTTGAAGCATTTTTGCTCTTAGAACACTAGGTTAGCTGAGTTCTTATGAGCTGCAGGAGTTAAAGAGCATCAAAAAAATCAGAATGAACTACATAAACCTTCTGGTGGGGAACCTCAAACGAGTAAATATGCCTTTCACAGCTCAACCACGAGATATGGTGGCATTAATGGGACATATTACACATCTTCCACTACGATGAGAATGAGCGGCGATGGGGTAAGTCGAAGCTTTAAAAAAATGAATCTGCTATATTTCCTGGTCATTAATATCTACAACTGTGCTGGATTTTGTGAAGGTGGTGGTGGAAGAAAGGAAAGAAGCTGATGCCAGTTCAGGCAGGGCGACACATAGGGTGTCTAGAGGAATTCAAGACAGGGCAAGTGATAGGGATTTGATGTCTTTTTAATTCTTTTTTTTTTCTTTTCGTCCCTCCTGCTTTTTTTTTTTTTTTTTTTAAATTCCTTTTGTAATTTGGTTTTACATTCCAGGGCCACTCATTTACCAGGAGGCTGAATTCTGATGGAAGGGTGGATACCATGCAGACACTGCATAATCTAAATCAAGGTCTATGTAACAACAAATTTTGGGAAGTTGATGAACGTCACATTTTGAAGTTTTCATTTTATTTTAGTGCTAAATGAGTACTCTTTTTTGGTTTTTAGATGAGCTGCCTGGATTTGAAGCAGCATGGAAGGGGAGTGCTGGAGAAACCTTGCTGGAATGGAATCCAGGGATTAGCATGCGTGGATATGAAGAGACGAGTGAGTAGAATGATTGCATTTGCATATTTAATATGTAGACTTGTTTCAAATGCATATGCCTGAAACGCAAGGGAAAGTGAAACAAATAATAAGCTATGGGTGAGACGTTTTTTTTTCCCGTTGAAGATGGTGACCGGTGGATGACTGGAGATATCCCACGTATTATATGTTCATAATTTTTGCTGGAAACAATTTGCTGTAGGATAATTATCTAGACTTGGGTTGTACATTACATGGTTTAAATGTAATAATATTTTATGATTTAGGAAAATAGGAATTTAATAATATTTTAAGGACTTCGAATGATTAGGAAAGACTATATTAGATTGAGATTTAGTCAATTTTGATGTACATAATCTAATGCAAGTTTTTGTTATGGAAGCGGGACTAGAGTGATTTTATAGCATTTAAACATGCTAAATATGTCACCAAGCTCTTAAGATTTTAATATATAGACTTGAGCTACCCTTCGAATCAGCATCATGACTCAGAGAGAAGCCAATGATAGCTACCCTTTGAATCAGCATCATGACTCATAGAGAAAAGCCATTGATAGCCATCCCCAAGGGGAGAGATGTGCAGGTTCGATAGGTCTAATGGCAGTATCTGAACCATTGAAAGTCGGTTGGACTAGGGGACTATTATGTACTACTTTATAGTTTGAGTGGCGTTGGGCTCCAAATTTTCTAATGCACAAGCATTAGACGCCAATGTGCTTAGTCGACAACATCATCGAGCACTCTGGGTGACTTTGATGAGTGCTTCTGGTGACGTGATGATATTGACAATGCAGATGAACCTATAAAATGAGTTTCACCAAGTTAAGGGCTGATTCCATCGAGAATTGACTGAATCCCTTGAATTCAAGGTGATTTTGAGACAATGAACCACTAGGCATAGGGGAATTTGATTGAGGTGGGTTTGCCATGGTGATGTGACTTTATAAGGAGGAAGGGTATTGACCTTGGTTGACCAGATAAACTCTTTGGAAAAATTCAAGTTCTTAGGATGGGCCGCTGAGATGAATTTTGGAGTTGCTATGATAGGTGCTAGTAGAAGAATAAAACTAGGTTGATTGAGTTGAGAATTGAATGTCCCTAAAGCGACGATCACATTTTAATGTTGAATTTGTTAATGTGTTTTTGAGAAACAAAAGCGGGTCCCATTAGAATGGTTGGCTCCCTTGAGAAATTTACAAAAGTGGGTTTCAAAGAAGTTAAATTGTTAGCCTTAGGGTGAACCAGATGAAATCTCTCAAAAAGGAGACTTCGTGGGATGATTTGCCATGATAGTGATTTCTAGGGATACGAATTAAATATACAAGTAAAGATTTGAGTACTATTTAGGTAAATGTAAAGTTCTAGGTTTTAATTATATAAATAGATGCATATATCTCAATCCCAAAATACAAACCTTACCCTACTTGTGTGAAGAGAGCAGGCAGTTGTAGGGAGCTAGTGTGGCTGTTTTGTCTGTCAAAACACATATATACGGCTTGCTAATGAAATGCCATGCTCTAGATGGTGTGGCCGACTGACATTAATTATAATATAGTCAATACAGATTTTACCCTACATATTTTTGCAGGGCGCAGCAGCAATCGAAGTGGACGGCCGTCGAAGGTTATCGAGATTGAAGCTATCCCGTCCACAGCAGATCAAATAGAGGTATCAAGAACCGGATCTCAGACGTAACGATATATATTCAAGTCCTTAACAAGTTTACTCCTAGACTTCATCCCTGCATAATTATATCATGCTCCACTTAGTTCTGATGGGTTTATTCCGTCGAATGCTATGTCCAATCATATACATGTGCTGAACCTATATTAATTTGCTCAGTAGGTGTTTTTAAGTAGTGGTATTGTTCTCCATCGTATTGTCACAATGTTGTAAGAGTTTCTGCTGCTGTTATAATACATGGACTTTTGTTTTAATTGTGTTTAATAATTAATTATCATGCATTCTTCATTAAATCACCGTGCCGGCATTGGTATTTGATGATTTTTAGAAGATTTTCATGTGCCTTGATAACAAAATAGTTTAATCAGCTAATTAATAGTATTTTACTTGGTTTAGCCATTAAAACATAATAATGTTTTAAATGTAAAATTCATAGCTTTTTCTAAAACCTAATAATATTTTGTTTCATTTTAAATAATTATACAAATTTCTATTATATATATTTTGCTACTTAAGAGACTATCATATGATTTTATATTTATTACTTCTGACAAGATTCAACTCTCTTTAGTTTGGGTCAAATTAAATTGCAATCATTATTTATGTCAAGAGCTCCGACACAAATCTTTTCGCTGCATATTTCTGCATGGGTTACATAATTTTCAGCTCTTTTATTAGATTTTTTATTTTATTGATTGCCTGTGAATCTACATCTACGTCTTATGAACCTGACCTGACTACTGGATTTTTATCAAATTAGCGTCTGATAATTCTGACATTAATTTACAAAAACCCAGACGTAAATTCATACTAACAGCGGATTTGCGTTAGCATATGATCAACACAAAAATGAGTTTCATAAATACAATTAACGTCAACAGTAACTGTCATAAATAGATTTACGTGTGACATTGTTGACGTTAGTCAATTTCAATGTGATTGAAGCAGATATAAATGTTTTTTATGATAATTGTGTCCGCTATTTGCAGCCATAAATTTATGTTGGACGCTGCATCCACTATTTCAAATCGGTAGGAAATTTAAAATATATACTCACAACCAAGACAACACATAACATATTGTTGAAATAAGTATCAACAGTAAAAACGAATAGAATTTAACAAACATTACACAAAATCTGTAAAAGTTTCAATCAAACAAAAATTTAATCTTCACATAAACTGTGTACAAAGTATTATGTCCAAATACTAAAATAAATTACACAAACGCCTATGGGACATCATCAACATACTCATGCTCATCCTCCCCTTCTCCCTCATCCTAGTCCTCTTCCTCTCCCTCCTCATCCACTGACTCAATGGTCACCTACCGCGACGAACTATTATCTAATCAAGTCATCCAGTCACACTATAATGGACCCGATTCTCTGCTGGCACTTACATAGCTGATGAAAGCTCTTCAGTCATAGTAGTGACATGTCGGATAAGTTCATCATTTTTTGATGATGATGACCTTGAACCACCCTGAGCAGCTCGAGAGTGCTCGGTCACAAATGTAATACCCTTTGAGCCCAATCCGTACACCCTTCACTTCTTCCATGCCTGCCTCCACATCTCACATTCAAATTGCTCATTGGTAGGCTGACTACCACTACTATTAGCTATTGTCAAGTTCTGGCTCTCTCTAGCTCTGCGTGCCTCAAATGTGTTGTAGTCCTATATAATTAAAACCATTGATTAATTTATATTTTACATTAATAATATAAGAAAAACATTAATAATCAAAATTTTTTACTTACATTGAAATGTAAGTACCCGTGGACATGAAAAAATAGTATCATATAATTGCATGATCGAATGGTCAAATATTTATTTGAATCTTACCAACTTCTAGTAGTGATTTTTATGTGGGATCAATCCTCCATTGTAGAGTGCAACATTCTTAGCTCTCAATTAAACCATCGTATTGACCTGACTTAATGCGGGTCAACCCAATCTTCAAGTCAGCTTGACCTAATCCGGGCTAACCCAAAATCAACCCAATTCACTGGGAAAACCTGACTGAACTCAGGCTAACCCAAAGACAACTTTCCTCAGAATAATCAGACTAAACTCTGATTAACCCGACTTGATACTCAACTTCAAGCTCGACTTAATTCTCAATTAAGGATTGGTTTAAGTCTAGACCAACTTAAACTTGTAAATAACTAAAGTCTAAATTAATTTGGAATTCACCAAAGTCTAATTTAACTTAAACTTGATACAACCAAGGGGGTTTAACTTGGACCAGCCTAGGTCAAACTATTTTGCTCTGAAGTTAGTCTTACTTAGTTTAAGTTGACTTACATTAACTTATTCTATAAAAGTTGTTTAACTCCAATCAAACAAAGTCAACCAGGGACAATCCTATTAAACTTTGGTCGATTTAAACAACCAGCCTAATTTAGGTTAACTCAGATTACCCAGAGACTCACTTTAGATCATTTTTTTCCCAACTTGAACTAATCTAAATTCAACTTAGGCCTAGGTGACTAGAGGTTAAGCAGGGTTTGAGTTCCCATCCGAGAGCAAAAGAACACTTAGCCTTGGTTGTTAACAATTTGGGCTAAGGTACTAAACCAACACAAATGAAATGACATAAGAATTCACCCTAAAAGACATTAAAACTTAAACATGAACAAAAAAATGCAACCTAGTTTGAGAAAGTATTTTAGAGGAGGCAACTCATGGCTGCTAACAAAATATGTTATGGTCACTTGTGACTAATCAAACCATAAATCTTATTAAACTCGGGACGATAGAACTATGAGATCTTGACCGGGCCATCCCAAAAATATATAAATAAAATATAAAAAAATAAAATAAATTAATTAGCTAATAAGTCTTAAGCAACCTAAAATTTTCAACCTCTAAAATCAAAAAAGAGCATCAGAACTTAAATGAAATCCTAATGAACAAAGATCATCGAATGTAACTTGAATCCCAGATACTCGAGCCTACGAAGATTTCTTATACGACACAATCCGAGATTGTTGACAGGAATCTTCCGGTCCAAGAAAATTTGACCACCCCTCGGACTAAGTAGATCAAGGAACCTGACAACCCCAGAATGATGTTAAAGCATAAGCATCTTGACTGGGTTGTCCAAAAATAAAAATAAGCACCAACCAATTAAACCAAATTTTTTTATGCTAACTCTATTTTGCAGGGTTGTTGAAGACAAAAGGCGAACATCACCCTAGGTTTACTTTGCATACTATTAGGGTGTGCTAACTCTATTTTACATGGACAGACACTAAAAACCTAGAGCAAAAGGTTGAATATCAACTAAACTATCAAAAACAAAACAAAACTCTAGGATAGTCCGAAATTTTTAGGAATCTGTTATCGTTAATATAGGACTTTTCAAAAAAACCTTGTGGTGAATTTTATTTCATGAAAAACACAAATACAAAAGACATGCAGTTAAGAAGGAAAAAAATAACTCACAACACCTATAAACCCAAAACAAAACAAATCAAAATAAGCTAAATCATTCAAACGTAACAAATACAACTCTCTAGATAAGCAACTAAAAATGAAAACAGAATTCAGCTTGGCCCCCATTCGAGCAGCCCAATTAGCAGCATTGTTTGCGTCTCTTTTAGTATGCGACCAAGATAAAACCATATCTTTCTTAAGATAAAAAATTCTTCTTAAATGCAACTGAATGCTCCAATGAAAATCCACCTTATTCCTATAGAAGTTTCACAAAATTAAAGAGTCCAATTCAATATGAACATGCATCCATCTAAATCATTTAACAATCATCAACCCAAAAAAACTACATCAGCCTCTACAACCAATGGAGAAATAGGCATAGAAGAAGCTGCAAATAAACAAATAACTGCTCCAAAAAAATCCCTACAAATACCTCCAACCCCCGCAACATTAGATTTCCAATTACCATCAACAATGATTTTGATATAAGGAATAATAGGTTTACACCATTTAACCCTCACATTGACTTTACCAGTCACATTAGGAATAGGAATATTAAACTTCTGAAGGACTTAAAAAATCCAGTTATATGGCCTCTAACTAAAGCAATGAAAAATTAAAATTCTAAAAAAGAAGCTAATTATCATAAGAAAAAAGGTAACATTTTTGTTAGGAATCACATCCTTGTGCTTCACATTGTTCCTTGTCACCCAAATATACCATAATATAATAGTAGGTATATTTGAAAAGAAAAAATGACCCTATTCCTGAGCGACGAGGATGCAAATTATACCACAGATCTTCCACATTAATGTTCAATGTTCAATGAGAAACACAAGGATGCAAATCCTTCATATTCCATTGAATCACTAAAGCAAATCCTCCATATTCCATTGATCATTATACCACAGATCTTCCACATTAATGTTCACATACTGAGGAAAATCATAAAAATCAGCTAAAGCACCCTTTTCCAACCAATCATCATACTAAAAAGAACAAGTGCCTTTACCAATATCCCACCAAATCAACCTTTCAGCACAATTATCAAATTTAAGCATCTCTAGCAGAATCATTCTTGGAGGCAGTAACTACAATATGATGCAAGTTATTACAATATTTAACATTCAAAAGAGAATCCCCAAATAGAATTGCCCACTTGAAATGTATACCAAAGCTTCATAAAATTAATCATCATAGTGTCATGTCATAAAATTAATCATCATTTGTAAATCTATACCAAAGCCTCTTGACCCAAACCTCCTTTATCAAGAGGTTTACAAAGCCTATCACACTTTTTTCCAATGAATCTTATGATCATCATTACCATCCCAGGTAAATTTGTTAAACAACAATTTCAATCTATTAATAATACCATTAGGAACATTCATAATTTGCATAGAATAATGAGGTAGAGAAGCAAGAATGTTTTTTAATAAAGTAACTCTCCCCCCCAAAGGAAAAAAAAAACTTATTCTCCCAAAATAGAATGTTTTTTTTAATCATATTAATCAAACTATAAAAGAGATTATTTCTCTTCTTCCCTTTACTTAGACAAAAACACAAATAAACCAAAGCTAGTTCACCTTTAGCACATTTAGTAAAATCCATAATCTGTTTCTTCTTACTTGGAGGAATATGCTTAGAATAATAGAAGAAACCTTTAAAAGTATTAAAACTCATACGAGTACATTCCTGAAAATGCATAATCACCTTCCAAACCAACTTAACAGATCTTTTGCTAGCATTAGTAAAGATCAACAAATCATCAACATAGCTAAGATGAGAAATCCCAATCAACCCTTTATGTATGT